TGGATGAAAGACTCGTAGATGGTAAATTAACAATTCAGCTAACCGAAAGAAGATTATAATCATTAGTAGCAATTGGGAGAGGTTTAGGTCCTTCGTTATACGACTGGATAAGTAGGTGAAGACGTCTTCGGATCTTATTAATGGACTTCTCTAGCGGAGTTTCGCTTTCTGCACCAGCAACGGCAATGTCAACACTTGAGGTAGCGGATTGAACCGATTCTGGACGCTCCATGACTTCGGAAGAAGCCAAAGAGCTGATTGATAACTGAACCAAAAAGATAAGTGATGACCTGAATTGCAACTAAATGGTGATATACCTGAGATTGTGATGGAGTAGCTTGAATGAGAGTGCGAACGTGTAGAGGCAGTGATCCTTCCTCAATGTTGTAGCGTTTTAATCTTGACACAATTTCATAGTACTTCTGGCACAAATGAGCTATGTGATCACGATTTGGAACACTTAGCCGCTCCAACTTGCTGACCAGCCTCTGATGACTCATACAGTTGGAAAGCAGCTGAGCCAAACGTGCCGTCTGTTCGTCGCTTTCAGGCATGGATTCGACCATGTTCAGGTCGTCCTCCATTGCCTTCAGCCAAGCTTCGAATTGTGTCAGTTTGATGGCCAATTTCTCTTCATGGCGACGATATTTCGCCGAGTTAGCGATCGATCTAGCGATTTTGCTGTCGAGTGAGAATGCTTTTCTCTGCAAATCTGCGAATTCGGGACGGAATCGCACCCGCATAGAGGCATCAAGAACACTTTCAAGCTCCCCAACAGCCTCCTTCCATCGCTTCCATTCCCCGTCACTGAATGCTTGTAGCTCCTCTAGCGATCTGTTATTTATGAGCTGTACAGCTTTTTCTTCCAGGTAACGGAAAAGAGCATTCAAGTAGTCATGGTACGAGTACATGTAACCCAAAGTCAGCCGTTTACGCTCCTCTTGTCGTAAGTCGTAGAGGGTAGCTAATCGATCTCGTTCTGCTTTTTCTTGATCTGTGAAGGCCAACTCGTTCACGTCCTCAAAGGCCTTAGTTTCTACTTCTTCTAATTTCTTCAACTCTAGAATGATAGCGAGGAATTGAAGTGGATCATCTGCTGTGGGAAGATCGTTTGTGATCAGGCTTTCGAATTTTTGAGCAGCACCATCAAATGTGTTCTCGTCGGCCTAAACAGATGTACTGAGCTATCCACAGAGATAAAAATTTGAGATAAAAATTTGATTTTAAAAACATACAAATCCAACTAGTTGTCGACGGAATTGTCTCAAACGTTGAGATATTGCCAAATCCGAGATCACCATCTCAGCCTGGTCTTGTAGTTGCCTCAGACGCTCAGCTTTTTCTTCCAAGTTCTTGCAGAGGTCTTTGGTCTAAACATTCTCATCGATGAATCAGTTACTTGGGTCAAAATATGGACTGATTTTTGGAAATATTGGAAAGTCAACTGACTTGCAGTACCAGTTACGGTAGGTACAGGAGATTTCAAAGGAAAAAGTTCATAATAACCATGTATGCGGTTGTATGATGATTCACAACATATTCCCAAGTAACGTTTGTTTCTTACAAAGAGAAATGAAAATGTTGAACTAGACGTGAATGGTGAGTGAGAGGGAGATACGTTGAAATAGGCACGAAAAAGTACAAAACAAACATATGCCAGTCTTGCAACTTTTTGCTGAAGCCTCTCAGTTGCAAAGTTTTCATTCTCGACAAGCTTAACGGAAACTAGAAGCAAAGTGAATGCAGTACCAAATAAACAACATAAATAGCAAATAATGAGTTAAAACTTGAAACAGTAAGTAAGTAAG